TCGTGCCCCCAGTGCCTCAACATTAAGATGTCTTTCCTGATGACAGGAGGCAGGAAGGAAAGGTAGGCGCTTTTCACGAGGCATTCCACACCCACGCTCCTACAAGAGTGTATACGTGCACGCGCGCCCGCACGCGTCCGCACCCATATTCAACGCAAAACCGGATCTGGTGCTGTAAAGGACTTCTCGGCAGTCTCCAGTTGAACGATCCCTCGTACGCAGTAGCAGCCAATTTCCTTCCGCAACTAGAGCGGCAGCCGGCAGAACGCGTAGTGTCTTTGTCCAAGAAGCCTGTTATAGAGGGCGCGTAAACAGCAGATCCGGTTGGCGGGAAACGTTACAACAGCAGCACCAACACACACACCCACTCCCTCGCAAGATCCTCTTAGAGTCTCTCCTCCTAGCGGAAATCCTGACCAGCTTCAGGAAATAAGCGGCAACTTACCTGCCGGCTATCCAGCGAGGCGATCTTGTCAACGATCTCAACACGTAGAGTACGCGCAGCCTATTGTATATCATCCACGGAAGGCGGAAGCAAACGAACAACACGCTGATCTTTGAATCCGGCCTGAAGTAAAGCGTTCTCACTTCCTTCCGTGCTAGTGAGACCAGTCACGACCCTCCCTTGTTTCCTGTTGGTTCAAGTCCCGGTCAGCAAAATCGATTTTCCTCATGGTAAGCATCAGACCCCTTAATTAATTTTGCTTGCCCGATCAGCAAGACATCAATTAGTATATATGTGCTAGTTTCGATTTTGGTGTTAAAAGCCACTCATAGAAAAAGTCCAATTTTGCATATAACTGCTGCCTTTGCTAATGCCGCGGTTAATTTGAATAACAAAAAACTAACTCAAATTACCATCCTTGACAGTGTTCACGCGGAAAGCACTACAGTTATTTCTACTGTTATTACGAGTGACAGATTTGAAATTATGATGGATAATACGATCGATTCCTCGAACTTTATTAGTACTAGAGGGATTTCTGTCGATCGAATCCAACACATTCCTCTCAAATTTTAAGAACTGTAAAGCTAACAGCTAATTGGACACTCAAGCAACTAAGCGATATTATAAAGTTACACAAGCATTGCTATTATCCGACTGACATTTTGGCCAAGCTGACAGACGAGTAACGTCTAGAAAATATAATATGATTGAAGGTTATGCACCCCCACTTCCCATAAACTCAGATCAGAAAAATGCAGCATTTCAATAAATAATGGTTTTCTTAAATTCGCCTAGTTAATACTTCAACAGTTATGCCAGTTTTCACAGGAATATACAGACGCTAGGATGCCCTCTTTCGCACAAAGGACGTAATTCTTCGAGAGAAATTTGTCAGAAGTCAGATGTCAGGCAAACGAGTAAAATTGGCAAAACGTGTTTATGTTCAGCCGAAACAGCCCCGAGCGAAGTTTATATGAGCTTATGTTTACGCTAATGTACTTTATCGCTTTTAAGCTGTCGTTAATTTAGAAATTTATTTATTCATTTATGGGGAACTCCCGTGGAAATAGTCTAATCGATGGCAAAGACTCTGTGTTTAGATTAATCAAATGCCTATCAATTAGAGACCGGGCCAGGTTATCACGCTAGCACGGTCTGATCGAGTTTTATACCTAACCTGACTTTTCTTTCCCCTTTTATGCGCATTTTATTCTAGGAATCAGGCATTCCACCACCAGCCAGCTCCCTGAGTGTGGACTACGCCTCCGAAGAGAACCTTCCGCACAAAGCTACCGCTCTCCAACAAGTCTCCTCGACCCTGGACGTCACGAATATGTCGACCACTGACCCCGCAGTGCCCTCCGCCCTGGGCTACTCCCCAACTGCACCGCCCTTCCATAAGGAGGCACCCTCAAACGCGACCCTTTTGTCGCCACCAGCGTCATCGGCTTTGTCGTCAGCCGAGGGAAACTGTGGTTCTGCGGCCCTGCATAGTGGACGTGGTGCTTGTCAGTTTCCTCTTCCGGTGGTGTATGCCTCCCA